TTAATTGGTTTCCCTTTTCTTTGTTGAAGAGGGTCTGTGCAATCCTTCTGCCTAGTCCGCCATCTTGCCCCGAAGACACCAACTACCCTGCTTCTTGAATCACTAGCATAACACCTAATTATTAAGTGGATGTGCTTATGGTTTTCTATTACATGTAAGCATACCAAATCAAGTGCTAAACTCTTACCTTGATAAATAATTTAAAAAACCACACACACAGTCCACTGAGGTTTTAATAACTTGAAAGAAAAGTGCCTAGTATTAAATATTATCATTATTAATCTGTGTATGCTCACCTAAAAAAATCTTTTCACCTATACATACAACTATGCACATGACTTTATGTGTTAACTTTGTCAATATATCACCTTTTGATGTTAACAGATAGTGCATGTGTCTGACCAAGAAATTTAACAAAAAGAATCATAGACATTTTTCTCCTTTATGCTTCTTTATTAAGCTCTACCCACCTAAAAACTGTGAGAACATTTGCAAGCGAGGAAACATTTTTCATCTCACTGTTACACATATTAAAAAAAAAACAACAGCCACCACTTTTTAGCCTCGTTAAAAATTTCTCTCTGGAAGCCTTGCAAAGAACGTTTTGGAATGCCATAGTCCTCCAGCTGGATGCTCAACCTGTGTTAGTGATTGTTTCTAAATCTGCATTTATAAATGAATGGTGTGTATGATGAAGGAGCTGAACCTATAGCTCTGTACACTGACCTGGGGAAAGGACATTTTCCAGATCTTTACAATGGGCATGGTCTACGTTGAGTTACTTTCTCATTTTGCATGGGTGAGACAGGTTTGCTATTTCATCAGCACTGTGCCTGATTCAAGAAGCTCTGGTGGTGTAGTGGTTAAGGCATTTGGCTGCCAACAAAAGGTTGGTGGTTTGAACCCATGAGCCGCTCTGTGGAAAAAAGACAGGACAGTCTGCTTCTGTAAAGATTTACAGCCTTGGAAACCCAATGGGGGTCACTATGAGTTAAAATCAACTCGATGGCAATGAGTTTGGTTTTGGTTTTTGGTGCCAGATTCGGAGAAGATGAGTATAAGGAAAACCATTAGCCCTTAACAGAAGAACAGCACCTCAATATTTTTATTTTTACTCATCTCCTCAAATAAGCAATTTAAAAACATTTCTACAAAGGATGTATCTACCAAATAATTTGCTGGAATTTGAGGAAGCTTGAATACCTTCTTCCTTTTCCCTTTGGGTGGAGAGTAAGACATAGGAGCCAGTTGGGGACTCAAACACAGCATTGGTTTTAATGCCCAATTACAGGCTCCCTAGTTTAGCTGGGTGGGGCACAGGGAACCTGTGGCAAAAATATCGGTTCCTGTTAATTTTTCCCAAATTTTATTGGTTCGCCCAGTTGTTGGCAGAGCAGATGGAGTTCTGCCAGCTTTTTCTTGCATGAGTGATTGTGTTAGTTCGGTCTTCCAAGAAGCTGACCCAAAGATGGGATAAGACAGGAAGATATTTACTGGGGAAAACACCTGTGAGGAAAAAATGGGAGGGAGCAGCAGGAGGCTAGGAGAGTTGTTAGACCACTTGTGATGCAGGAGAAAAGGAAGGAAGTGGAGAATAAAGGACAGGAAGTAGGGTTGGTTGGACAGAAACATCTTGGACTGCTGTGCTGTTGTAAGAAAATTCCCAAGTTCTTGAGCCAGTCACTCAGAGGAGTCCCAGGCCTCACAGGAATGGGCCTGCCTTCCTCTCCCTACTGCCCTCAGCCATTGGCTGGTACAGCCGTGGGAAGTGTGACCTCACCATGGAGATAGGATTTCAGGGTGAAACAGCTGAGGCTGTCATTCAATTCCCCTCCCTGCAGTAAACTGATCTGAGGTGAGTTCTCATGGCTGCCATGGCGATCAAATGTTTCTCTAACACCTCCCTTCCAGAGCAGCAGAGAATATGTACCCTGCCACCCCCACCTCTAGCAAATATGAGCAATGGGCTACCAATGAGCTTTCTCCTGAAGTTATGACTTGGAGTTTCTTTTCTTTTCTTTTTTTTAAATTGTGATTTGGATGAAAGTTTACAGAGCAAATTCACTTTCCATACAGCAGTTCACACACACGTTGTCTCATGACATTGACTACAATTTACCCCAATGCAACAGCTCCCCTCCCACTTCCTCCCCATAGTTACCTCTTCCCTGTGTCCATCCCTCCATACTCTCCTGCCCCCTGAGCTGTCTCCCTGTGCATAAGCAGCCCTTCCTTCTCCCATGATTGTTCTCTCCAAGAGTGTATCTACCTCAGGTACATGTTCAACTCATATGCCTGTCTATTGTTTGGCTGAAAGCCATAGGTGTGGATGACTTGGAGTTTTATGAGTCATACACAACAACTGATCTTGTTATTTTGTAGTTATAAATGTGTGTGGCACAGGTACATAGAGGCATAGATTTGTTACTATGGTATGTTCTCGGGGATGATCAGGGAAACAACAATCAATTAGCTAAGTTGGGTACCACTGTGCCAGGCATTGGAGGAACCACAAACAAAGTATAGGATGTGATGGTGTCCTGAAGCTACAACATAAACATAAAACCATTAAATGGGAGGACATTTGAAACACTTCCCAAAGCAGGAAGGGAGCATGGGGGTTCCTCTGTCACGCCCTCCCTCTTGCCCATAGTCAGATGGTTCGCTTATATCAGTTTCAGTTGATCCATGCATCCCAAAGATGTCACTGCAAAAAAGGCTTTTCAGCCCCTGCGCGCCAAACAAATGTTTGAAAACTCCTGGACTAAGTCATTGTTAAAACCAGTCCTGCGTTCACATTCTACAAATCCCAGTTCTTCAGGCATATTATACTCATATAATACCACATTAAATTTGACTTTGTGAGTTTCTTGTCTTGGAAAAACAAATCCTTCTAACTAATGGTAGTTTTTATAAACTATCAGACATGGAACAGTTCTCTATGTGGAAGTTGCTTGTTTTCTTCTCCCAACTTTATTCCACGTTCCTCTGTAAAATCCAGGTGATCTCACTGAAACTCTGAGGCTGTCTCAACAGCACAAGAGGAAGTTGCTCTGCCAGAATCACACTTGGACATGATGCTTGCTTTAATTTCTTTCTGGTTCATGTCTGTGACCCAGGGAGATCAAATGTCTTCTTCAGTGAGTTGAATTTCTTCTCCTTCTTCTTCAGGGTGCTCCTCCCACCTCAGATGAGGAGAAGAAGCCAATTCCAGGAGCAAAGAAACTTCCAGGACCTGCGGTCAACCTATCAGAGATCCAGAATATTAAAAGTGAACTGAAATATGTCCCCAAAGCTGAACAGTAGTTGAAAGAAAACAGGTGAGTGGAAAAATATTTGCTCTGTCTCAAAAAGGCCAACTATGATAAAATGGTTTAAGGACTTCTTCCATAGAAGGAGTCTAGAATTAAGTACCAGTGGCCTTCACTTCAGACCAGTATTTCTGGTGCAAAGGTTATCTGGTACATAAATCTGAGCTTTGGACCTATCTTATTCCATACCAGTGAGAGTTCTGTTGAAGATGTTTGTCTGCCATCCCCTTTCTGATCACCTTTCTTGGTTAGAGAGGATGTGGTTAGGAGGATCAGAGGAGCGAGTTGCTGAGGAGGTCTCCAAGTATAAAGAAAGGGAACAGAGCCCTAAGAGTCCAAGTCGGGAAACTAGGAAGCCAAGTGTGTTCAAGGAAGATGAGGGGGACCGGTGTTGATTCTGGATGGGTGAGGCTTGGGTAGATTCCCAACTGGACACTCCATGCGACAAGACACTGCATGCAGGACCTGTGACTTTCTCTTCATTTTTATTGGACCCATTCAATAGTGATCTCCTGGGGGCAGTTCTACTCTTTCTTATTGGGTCACTATGAGTCAGAACCAACTCGACGGCAATGGGTTTGTGTTTTGGTTGCTGAGGGTCAGCTCTGCCCTCTGTCTGCAGACCTCCTCCTGTGGACTGGAATGGAAACTGTGCCAGCAGGGCAGTACGGAATTTAGCCCAAGTCACATTCTTTTCCCAGGAGCCCCTAGGAGCAAATCTACTCTTCATCCAAAATTTTTGACACGCCCCCCTCCAAAATTCACAATCTATTCCATTTCTGAAGCAGAACTTTAAACCTAGAGAAGAATCTATTCTAGGAACATAAAGCAGGCATTTATATGGTTGATTGTCCATATATTAATTCACTCACTTATTCAGTTATTATTTATTATCTGCTATGTGCTGGACACTAGAAACAGTTACTAAGCATTTATCGTGGGCCAAGTATTATGTGAAGAGCTTTCTATCCATTGTTTCTTTTAAACCTCATGATACCCAATCATTGCCCCATTCTTGAGATGAGTCTTAGCGATGTTGTTATTGTGTGCCATTAAGTCAATTCAGACTCATAGTGACCCTATAGGACCAAGTAGAACTGTACCATATGGTTTCTTCACCAGAATAGATCGCCAGGTCTTTTCTACTGCAGAGTGGCTGAGTGGGTCCGAACTGTCGACTCTTCAGCCAGGTACTTAAACACTGCATCACCAAGGCTCCTGTAATACTAAGTGATTTTGTTGGTATTAAGTGATTTTCCCCATCTATCATGCAGCTGAAAAGGAGTCTGATTTCAAGGTTAGTACTATTAACTACGAGTTATATTGCTTCAATGCCTTCCTCTCACTGCCAGATCCCTTACACACTCCCTGTTGGTGTTAAGAGATTACTCCCCGGACCATGGAGATGGCAGAGGTAAGCACAGCGACCGGGCCCTGCTGTGTCTTCTACTCCAGAATACGCCAGGACAGAATGTTCTGTGAGACAATCCACCTTGTCCCGGCAATGTTATTTGTGTCATGCTTATGCTGACTTAGTAGCAAATTTGCAAGTTGGTTCTGCCAAAACAATTTCTTTGTAGCCTAGAGAAAGAAAGAAGCCCTTTCAAGTTAAAATAAAAGAACGGTATCTAGTGATTTCAGCACAGTTATATAAAAGAGTAGAGGAGTAAGAATAAAACACAGTGGCTTCTATGGCCATAGAATGAATTCCAGGGACTTTGATGGGGACCGAGTGACATGAAAGGGAACTGACCTGAGCACAGCTACCCACACTTGTTATTATTTATGACATCATGGAACAACTTGATGTTTTATTATCATTATCCTCAGTCCTTCTTGTGTTGTCAGCTGAGATTAAATATTTCAATATGCTTAGGATGAAGCTACAGAAGTTCCTTGTGAGAAAGCCTGGAGAAGGGAAATTAACTTTTTGTAATATTTATTATCATCACCCAACCAAGGCCGTTCAGTTAGGCACATGAATTTTTAATGCAAACTTTAAAGGGCTTTGCTTTTATGAAATCCATGTCGACCTAAATTTAACCCCAGTTCCAGTTTCAGAACTTGATTTTGAAGATTCAAAGGAAGGCTGTTTTAAAATTAGCTCAGAGAGGATCTTGCAGTGTTATTTAGCAGTGAAGTTGATTTAATAGCCTTGGATCTATGGTTACAGGGAACAATACCAACTTGATAAAATATTCAAAAGGAACCAGAGTATCCAGAACAATTTTTTGTTGCTTCATTTTCTCAAACAAGACTTTAATGGTTCTTCTCTCTTGAACAAATTCTAGTAATGAAAATCCCCTTGGAGAGGTCGATTTGTTCTGATTCTTACAAGAATGTGAAAATGTAAATTGTCAGGGTAATTTATCTGAATTCCAAATGAGTACAGTCATTGTTTTAAGACAAGGAATTATATTTTTTCTTGTAAGAGAGGAATTAAGCTGGTTTACTTTTGACTCATCCGTCTTCTGCAAATATGTCTGAGATTTTAGACTTCCATAGTCGTGGTTTATGGTCACAGAAGGAGAACATTTCTTTCTTTCTTCTTTTTTTTTTTTTTAGGAGAACATTTCTTAACATTGATAGACTTAATGGATTCATAAGCATTAAACACCCTGAACCAGCCATCATTTAACATCTCACTAGTTAGATTTACTTCCTCTTTCTTGGGCCTCCACTTCATCACCCACCCTCATCATATATTGTCCAATTATTTGATCAAACTGATTGTTGCTTTGAAGATTGGATGAATAAGTCCAAAGTGTCAAACACTGTGAAAACCATGAGACCCAAGGTTCAAGATCCAGGTTATAATTATTACAATACTGTTTTAGACATACAAGACAGAGCAGCATCTCCTTACAACTGAGGTAAATGCCTCCTTTTACATGGAATTCTAGATTCTTCCATGTCATGTGGCATGGCTAGAATTGTTCATGGAAATAGATTAAATATTGAGGGACAAGAACCAGAAAAGCTAATGACTGGCCAGTAAGCCATAAGAAATCATGGCTTATAGAAAGGAGTTATGGCTGGATCCAATTAGGAGGTAAAGCCAGGCATCATAGAGACAGCACACTTGAGTCAAAACCAAGTGATATGAGAGTGAATATCTCAAATGGGGCCCCATGCTAGGCTGGAATAGGCATGGGGGCAGGGAAGGTAGGGCATCCAGCCATGTAACTCTTGGGATTCTCCTGGCTGTGATGTGAGGTGCCCAGGTTGTGATTTAAGCAAGGCCAGGGACCAGATGAAGAGGCAGGACCATCGGCAAAGTCAGAAAACCAGGTGACCTCTGATACTCCCATGCCTGCCTGTTTGCTGTATTATCAGGAATACCCCATGTCTACCATCAGAATCCACTGTCACCCTGCTTCTTGTAACTATAGCACATGCCACTTTGGACTTCATGTACAAGGGTTGGGGGAAGTCAGAGAACTAAGTGCTCAGAGCTGGTGCCCAAACAGACTCTGTGTCCATTTTCATTCTCTCTAAATGCTCAGACAGGACCACAGGTGCCCAGGAAAGAACCTTGTAACATGGGAGCTTTCTTCATTCTGTGCTAAGATTGATCAATCTATCTCATATATATATATATATTTGAATCTTGGTCCCTGCTCTTAGACTACTTAAGTCTAAGTCTTGATGGAAAGATAAAATTATGGATCTTGGAGAAATTCAAGAGCTGATAGCAGCACACCAGAGGAATGAACAGAAGACAATTTGATGGAGATGAGTGTTTCTGAACCAGTGCCAGATGATGAGGAAGAAGACGTAGAAGAAGCAGTGCCAGAAAACAAATGGACATTAGACAATCTGGCAGAAGGTCTCCAATTATTCAAGACTGCTTTTGACTTCTTTTATAACATGGACCCTTCTATGATATAGCACTGAAACTAAAGCAAATGGTGGAAAAGGATTGGTATCATACATACAAATTTTGGTTACTTTGTGCTGCTCTAACAGAAAATACCACAGAAAAATGGGTGACTTTAACAAATAGGAGTTTATTCTTTTATAGTTGTAGAGGCTAGAAGTCTGAGTTCAAAGGGTCAAGCTCTAGGGGCTGGGTGAAAGCCCCTCGACCTTGAGCTTCAGCTCTGCCTCTTGCTCCCACTGCAGCTGGAGGCATCTCTTCACTCAGGCAGCTGCTGGCTGCTGAAGCTAACAAGCCCAAGGTTGACAAATAAAAATGGCACAGTCCCAATATTACCAAACAACATAGCAGGCCACTAATTCAAGTCCAGAGGCAGTCCCAAGATCAGCAGGAAACATGGCAGGCTGCTAAATGAAGACTCACCTACATGCAGGGTCTAAGTGTGCCAAAAAGCTCAGAGACATTTCTCAACACTTCTCCTTATATGCTGGAAGCAGACCACATCCCTAAGGCAGCCACTCAGCTGCTCCAGTAGATTCCACCATGGAGTTGATTCCCAGTCTCATCATAGGGAATTACTACATCCAGCTGCCCAGCCACTCAATCGGGCCCAGTAAAGTTGAACATAACTTTAACCACAACAATACATTTTCAGAGAAATGAAAAAGCAAAAAGTCAGACAGAAATTATGATATATTTCCATAAAGTTACACCAACTGTGCCTACTTCTCCTTCCTCCCCTTCCACCTCCTCCACCTCTTTTGCCTCTGCCACTTGAGACAGCATAGCGTGACCAACCACTCCTCTTCTTCCCCTTCCTCCTCAGGCTACTCAATGTGAAGACAATGAGGATGAAGACCTTTATGATGCTCCACTTCCACTTAATGAATAATAAATAATCACCATGCTGTACAGTTAATAAGCTTATCTATTGTGTATGTGTGTGTGTCTGAGTGAAAGTCTAGTAATTGTATGGCAAGAGCTGTGTTACTCGACTGTTTATGTTATAGGCAAGGCTTTTGGTCAACAGTAAG